TTTAATCATGGCTGCATTATTACATTTCTCTGATTGGGTTTAATTTAACACACAAGGTGCTTTACACCTTTCTCATGAGATGCTGGGCTCAAGAGCACACGGACATTTGATCTGAATTCACACCTGGGTTGGCCCATTTTGCAACTCCTCTGTGAGTAATATGGCACCAGATGGGAAGAAGCTATTAATAACACTGCAATATCATTAATCCACCTTCTTCTGGTGCAGACAGCTCATCCTCCATCTGTGATGATGAATGGTGTTCCGACAGTGAAATGACGATGACATCTCAGCATATGATGAAAAAAATAACAGCTGGTGAGGTAAGACTCCTTGAATTTTCTTATGTTGTGAGTAACATCTCCATGTGCAGCCTTTGGAGAGTTGGAGAAGCATTTCTTTTCCTTATGGTTTCATCTTTAAAGATACAAGCTTTTAAGGCCTAATAATGTGCCAGGCTTAGATCTAAAATTTTCATTTGTGCATCGGACCCTTCGGGGGTCCACAAAGAATGGCCCATGGCTGGTTTGTGACTAATGGGGCATGAAATAACCTTAAAATAGATCTTTTTATACATGTCACAGCATGAAAAGTACAAATGAATGACATGAATAATGGTTGAATCCCTTTTAGAGCTGCTGGAAATCTTTAAATTGAACCAGCACACCACTGTCTTTTCATTTAAAGACAGAACTGAGTCAGTGACATACCTGTGCATTATGATGACGCCTCAGCATGTTTGTAAATAAAAAAAAGACATCTGAAAATAAATTATTGCATCAGGCCACCTGCTTACCAAATTAAAGAAATTCTCTATTCACCTGTTCAGATAATCTAGTTTTGAGTTTCTGTTCATTAATGACCCATATAATGAACAGTTTTTGTCTTTATACCTTCATTAAAGATGACCTTAGATTGAATCCTCTTCAATTTTCATTAAAAAAAGTTTTTTGTTTATATTTGCTGTATGAAACATAGATAGAGTTTATTGACATTTTAATTTAACCAGTGCACAAAACCTCTACCATATAGATCTAGACCAACCCCAGCAGAAGCAAAAGATGTTGCTCTGCAGGTCTGTCTAACCACGCACCATATTCCCTCAGCAAGTCTACCATTGGCCTGAATCGTTAAGTCAATCACAATTGTAGAGAGCTGTTGGGCGGTCTTATAACCAGAGCTATGACGGAGAAAAATTACTAAGACCAGCCTCAGGAATGGCGCCAACTTTGGACGATTCACACTTGGCTTTTCTTTGATGCATGTGCAGATGAGGTAGTTAAATCCTTTATTTCTACAAATGATGCATTTGCTTCTTCTTCCTCTACAGTGTATGGTGGACTGCCTCCTTGACTGATTTCCGTAGCAATTAAAATCATGATTTTTATTGTTCTGACTGGTCCTCGCACTGTCCATTAGACAGTTCAAAAGACAACCGTGGATTCCGTCCAACGACTATGGGTCTATGAGTCGAGGCCGGAATATATATTCACGTATATAGGATTGCTATCCAGGCTACATAACAATGCACAACCCCACTTCATTGGCACATAAAAAAGTAGTCAATTAAAATTTGTACAATTATTATAGATGTTTGTAGCATACACATCTACTATTGGGGTCCCGTACACATGAAAACACACCAGAATGTTTGTTTATCTACAGTTTCATTTCCAGCATGCATGCATGGGTGAACAGTTATATTTGCATACACTCACTGCAGCGTTTTAGTCCCTCATCGTCACGTTGTAGAGACTCGCGTCGCCTCCTCCAGAGGTGTGACCAAGTCACTGCTTTGCAAGTCACAAGTAAGTCACAAGTCTTTCCAGTCAACTCTCGTGTCAAGTCCAAGTCAAAGACAACCACGTCCAAATCGAGTTCAAAGTCAATGATGTAGAAGTCCAAGTCAAGTCCAAGTTCTTAACTTTGAATTTTCAAGTCATAATCAAGTCATCTGTCCAACTTCAATTTAATGACAATGATAATAAATAAATTCCAGAAATAAATCTTCTTAAAGCTTCATTTGTTAGCTCAAACAAGCAGAAAGTACAACTGAAACTGATCATAAACAAAGTGCTGCTGCATTTAGCAGTAAACCAAACCCAGAACGAAGAATGATTTATGATTGTTGTCCATGTCGTGCCACTTTGTTCTAAAATATCAAATATGCTCAAGTCATCATCAAGTCAACAGATGCAAGTCGATTCAAGTCACAAGTCATTGGCGTTCAAGTCAAGTCATAAGTCTTTAAAGATTTTATCAAGTCAGACTCAAGTCATTAAACTAATGACTTGAGTCTGACTTGAGTCCAAGTCATGTGATTTGAGTCCACACCTCTGCCTCCTCCTGTATATAAAGTGAAAAAATGTACAAATGAACCGGCTTTTTAGGCTCTCAAACGGCTCCTCACATTTTTTGTTTTTTAAATTAATTTATCACCAGAAAATTATGTAAGTGTGTCAAATTACTGACCAATCTACAAACTTACATTAAATACACTGTTTATTATTTCAAAAGAGACTAGGTAGTGTGAAATTTCTCCCTAGCCGGCATTAGAGTCTACAGAAAGGATTAATCACTAAATCAAACATATCAGCTGTGTTCATATCGTATTGTTACATAAAGACCACTAGGGGAGCTGTGACTGTATGAAGCTATATAGAGGGTTGATATGGATAAGTAGAAGCAGAGTTTCGTTGAGTCAAGGACTCCGGTACCCGTTGAGGGTCAGGGGTACGGGTGATGCTTCTTCTGCATCGGGCCTGTTGGACCAGCATTGGGAGTTTGGAGGGCAGGGTCGGTTGGGGGTGGATTTTCTGCCCGGTTGCGGGACAGAGCGGACGCCTTGGGCTTCCTAAGTTGGTCTGTCTGTTTGCTCCCGGTCTGTTCTGATGTTCCGCCCTGGCTTCTGCCTATACCGGAGGTGGATTTTACCTTTTTGGGGTGATGCCATGATGGTGGGGTGGCTGGTGCTTTTCATGATTTTTGGGGTTGGAGTGGGGCCCTCATTTGCAGCTGTATACGGACGGCTCTAAGGAACCTGATAGTGGTTGGGTGGCAGTGGGTTTGATGGTCCCGCACCTGTGCTTCAGCTTTGGTTGTCAGCTCCGGGACCATTGTTCTGTGTTCACGGCTGAGTTGGTGGCTATCTTCTGTGCCTTGCGTTGGGTGGAGGAGCGTGTCCTGGAGCGTGCTGTTTTCTGTTCTGACTCAGCTGCTGCCTTGGAGGCTCTGTCATGGTCAGGCTCTGGCTCTAGGTCAGACCTGGTGATTTCTGCCAAGGTAATGCTGCATGATCTTTGGGCTTGTGGCTGTGAGGTTTGTTTTGTTTGGGTTCCTGCCCATGTGGGGGTGGTGGGCAATGAGAGGGTGGACTCTGTGGCCAAGGTGGCGTTGAGGAACACTGTTGTGGATCTGGAGGTTGCCATGGGCTCCCCTGAGTATTGTTCTGTGATAGGCTGGGAGGCCATGAGATAGTGGCAGGCATCGTGGGATGGTGGGGTGGTGGGTAGGGGCTTTTATGGGTTGCATCGTTTGGTGAGTGGCTGTGAGTCGGTCCTCGATCTTCGGAGGAGAGACTTGGTGGTCCTCACTCGGTTGATGTTGGGGCATTGTGGTCTTTGCGGCGGGCTGTTTTTGGTGGGGAAACACATTGACGGGAAGTGTGATTGTGGGGAGCCTGAGTCTGTGTGCCATGTTCTTCTGAACTGTTGAGGGCTACGGGTATGTCGGTGTTTTCTCTGCAGACCTTGTTGGGTGTGGAGGACAGGCGTAGGGTGTGGGCCCTGATGTGGTATCTGCATGTGACGGGGGTTCGTGAGAGGCTGTGATGCTCTCTGATGGTGTGTTTGAGTGGCTGTGGCAGCAATATGCCTCGTGGGTGTCTAGCCTGCCTCACTCACTGAAGAAGAAGAAGAAGTAGAAGCAATTGTAATTGAGACAAACAAGTGTTCGGACTAGCTAACTGACTGGTTATTTAGGCTTCCAACTACCTTAAACACATGATATGGTGTCAGAAGTAAAGGATGGAGCAATTAAAGCCACCGAACGGTCTCTGGTCTATGTTTCCTGGAAGGAAACATAGTAGAAAACTTGCACATGTGGATCCAGAAATTTGAGCTGTTCCTGGTTGCCAGTGGTCTCTCGGAGAACTCCAGAGAAAGTTAAGTGTGCGACTTTCCTGCATGTGGCTAGCGATGAAGCCATTAAGGTATTTAACACAATGGACTTTGAAGATGAGGAAGAGATGCTGGAAGTGCTAAAGGAAGAAAGTGAAGTGACCGTAAACAGGCTAGCCAAAGCTAAGCTACCCAAAGTGAGCGGCCACGGAGTCAACAGAGACTGTGGAAAATGTGGTTACAAACACGAGTATGGAAAACTAAAATAATCACACATGTGTAGAGCCTGCTTAAAAAGATGTTTTTGCTTTGCATAGCCCACACTCTTCCTTTGAATTGTCAATATTGGTAAATGTGTCCACATTTAGCTGCATTTCCTGCTTTAGCTCATGTCCTCACCATTTTGTAGCATGCCTTTTCTCCCCTTTCTCACCATCCTCCTCCTCTCACTGCTCTGTGTGTTTACACCATTGCCTGTCCCCTGCTAACTCCCACCCCCCCCTACCCCAGAGCAGAGCAGAGGAGTTGACCAATCACGTGTGGCTTAAACACAGAGAAAGGGAGAGAGAGAAAATAAGGGAAAAAAAACGACTCCGACTCGGCTCTTCCGAGAAGGAGCCGGCTCAAAGAGCCGTTTCGTTTGCGAACCACACATTACTAATTACCATTAGCTTTTCACTCTGGTTATCTATTTCTCCAAGGTGTGGCTGTTCAAAGAGCTACCTTCAGCAGCTTGGTTAACCCCCCGTCACTATCACTTTCAAATGTTATGTGAATGGTAACAAAATCAAATGAAATCATTCTTCACTACTTGTAGATAAGATCAGACATTTATTCCTTAAAAATTTACTTGACATTGATCATATATTAGATTTGCAGCAGTTGAAGATATATATTTTTTATTATTTACACCTAAAAGGAAGAAAAAATAACAATTCTAAAAGTATCAAAAACATTTTAAATAGCTTGTTCAGAAATTTAATCATTTTGGATCCAGTGTGGTGAAGTAAATAAATGATATTTATTATTATAATTAAGATAATGAAAAGTTTTTTCTCCAGAATGAGTAATACATGCATAGACGCTTCTAATCCGTGTTCTAGGACTTTCAGAGGAAGCTGCAAATCCCAGATTGCACAGGCACAGGAAAAGTGTCTAAACAAGTAGATAAACATAAACTTCCAGCAGTTAAAATTCCAACTTTACTTTATGATCATTCTTTTGTAATGAGACGTTTACTTTGGTTTCAAACTTACCGACAGGGGGTGCTGTTTTGTATTTGCGGTCAAATTACATAAAGTTGTTTGATTTTTTTGCCATGTAAAAATGTTTTCAACTCAAATGTTTATAATTATACCTTTTTGTTCACATCTTGGTTACACATTTTATATTATTATTTTTTACCAGAACTGACGTTCTACACTGTTTTCCTTAGATCTTCATGAATCAAACACAGTTTTTTTCCTTCATGCACCTGCATCATGAACTCACAGAAACTTTAAACCCATCCAGATGAACCATTTTTAGGCATCCAAGACACTCTCGATGTTCTGATTTAACACTGGTCTATTGGTGTAAACCTATAAGGGAAATATACTTCATGCAGCAACAACAAATGAATGACAAACTTGAAGAACCCGTTTGTGGGTGTTCCTATGAAGAGGCAGTCCCGGTGCGCGCTCAGCTGCTGAGGTCATTCTAGTGAGGAATGAGGAGAGCAGGAACACAGATTTTTCACCAGAACACAAATGTTTGATGATAAAACTTCAATCTAATGCCCTTTGACCTTTGTCCATGCAGCAGTGACTGTTTTGTCCTCAGTACCAGTAAAGGTCCTTCTTGTCCACGTGGCGTCCTAACAAACAGAAGACAAGCATTAAACAAGACGGATTAAGCAGAGGGATAAGCTACTGTCTTTGCAACACTACAAGACATATTTACATTAAGTTTAAAATCACATTTTAAACAATATTTTATGAAAAAGTGATCAATGTGAGTATATCAGTCATGTAAAACCAGTTTTTAGAACAGAATCTTATAGTTTTTACATTAAATATAGAACAAAGTATAAATTTAGGCTAAAACCATCTTTTTTTAATCCTTTTACTCTAGTCAGAGTCTTTCAGCTGTGGGCATTTCCAGAGCGGACGTAAAGTTTATTTCAGAAGCAGATTTACCAGGTTCAAAGCCTATCTGAGGGTCAGCAGACTCTCTAAATCCCTGAGGGAGGGTCCAAGTTGGTAGGGGTTCTGCTTTCGAACTGGAGGCCATACTGGGGCCCACCTCACTCCGGTCACTGTGCAGCAGGTTGAGCAGCGATGTGGGATATTGCGATCCAGGAAGGGTGAGACCATCTGAAGACAGTGAGCACATGATGGTGGACAGACCTGGACCCTCCCTTGACCTGTATGGGGTCCAAGGCCCAGGAGTGTCGCTTGCTGGGCTGAAGGTCAGTAAGTGTCCTGCTCCAGATGGGATCTGTGATTTGGAGTAAGGGACAACAGGAGTGTCCTGACATGAGCCTGTGTCCTCTGTAGGGGGACAGAAACAAACCACCACAATGAGATCAAGCTGGGGAGATAACCACGTCACAATGTGGGATTTTCATTCTTACCCGTTTTAACAGTTTTGTCGACTTTTTTTGTCTTTGTTGTGACTTCACTGGGCTTACAGGCTTTACTGAGAGCGCGTGAGAAGTGAGCGTCCACCATGCTGTTAATATCCCCCTGGAAGTATGTCAGGATGACGCTGTGAGAGTTCCCCTCCACCTTCACTGCTATGGGACTGTCGGTTCGTTCCTCCATGTCAGCTGAAGCACAACAGAAAGCCATCGCTGAAATCTTCTCTGTGAAACTAAGACTTACAAATGCGACTGCGCATTCAGCAAAGGAGACGTTTCAGTTGAAATCACCTAAATCTTTTACAAACTGCAATTCAGCAGCTTTAATTACGAGAATTAAATTAAACAGAAAATGACCATCACTTGGTCTATTTTTATTTTATTTGATTATAATGAAAATTGTAGAAGTCATTCTCCTCTGAAATCCAAAAGGCATGCCTATGCGCTGAGGCATGTTGACGCACTGTGACCTGTTTGTGTTTTTACTTTTTATGGTCGACATGCGTCAAACAGATTTAAGACACGGACCGTATTAATGTTAGGTTTGCTTTTATAACATTTGTGTTCATCAGCATGAAGGACGAAATGAAAAGCAGAAAGTTTTCCCTCACAAATGGTCGTTTCTTGCTTTTAACTTCCTGCAGATTTTCTACAGCTTTAGGTTCTCTGGAAAATCTTCATGGTTTTAAAAATTATTTTATAAAAAGGATTTTTAAGTCATATTTGGGTTAACTCAGGTTGTTAGAGCGCGTACTGATGTGTTTGATTTTATAAACAAAACTCTTAAACTTAATAGAAAAGTAAAGTGCAATGTTAACAAAGACAACATGGCAGAACAGCTAAAACAAACCGGGCCATTCTCACTTCACTTACCTGACCTGACGACACACCACAGGGGACCAGGAAGCAGAAGTGTGCATCGACTGGTCGATCAAACGACAAACGCAGCAGCAGCCAAAATGATTGGAAAACGCCTCTCGTTTTCAGTTTGAGCGTCTGATCACAGAATAAATCAGTAAAAAGTTTCCATTTGCTCTCCACAGAACTGAGCTTTAACTCACGGATCCGTCAATGACAGAATATTTTAGCCTGGGAGGGCGACGGCTGCAAACAGAATGTTATCCAGCCAGTTCCTCCAGAACCAGAACAGCAGCTCAACAAGACATTCCTCTGCTGAATTCTCATGAGACTTTGTGGTTCATAAGTAGCTCTGCATTTATTTTATACTGACATGAAACTCCTGCGCTTTACAGCAGAACAGGTTGACTTTTCACTCCCGTCAGATCAGATTTTATTGATCTTCATCTTTTGATTTTATTTTCATGTAAAATGTGCTTCAAAAAACTGGATTGAAATGTTTTTGCAAAACTTTTTCTGCAGTAAAACTCAGATAAGAACAGATGAGAACAAAAGGATGAAACCAAGCTTTTTGGTTTATTGTAGACGAGGCAAAACAACACTGTTTGAACACACAATCATTAACAGAAAATAAAAATCACATTTTTCAAGAAAGTCTGCATTTAATCCAAGAACGTCCAAGTTCTTCATATAATCTGTTCTGTATTTTAACCTTTTTAAAGTAAATATTTGAAGGAATAAAATCTTTCCCTAGAAGAACAATGTTTCCACATACAGGCTTACTTTTTATTCTAGAGCCAACAGATTGTACTCTAAAAGTATTTTATGTATAAACTCAAATCTTCTTTTTTAATCAAAAACTTTGATGAAAAGTTTGTACAACAAAGCTTAATTTAATTAAAATATTAAATATTTTAAAAATAGCTCTCACAGCTGTCCTCTAATTTCAATTTGCAACGCTTCTGTTTCTACAAAATAATAAAACTAAACCTTCAGTGCCAAAAAAGACCTATAAAGTGAACAGTAAATTTAAGACATTTAGACAATTATTTTGGGGTTACCCTTCTAAAAGACATCACAGAGGAGATAGGTTTAGACCAATCCGACTTTAAGCACAGCTGACTTTGGGTTAAAGAGGAGGAGTCGAAGTAGTAACCTGTGCAACTCTTCAGATATCTGATTTAATTCACGTCTCCCAGCTCATCTCAGAAAATGAAAGACATCAGGTCATTGAACCTTGTAGGACTGTGTAGCTCTGCTCCTCCAGAGGCTCATTCCTGCCCCCTGGTGGTCCTGCTGTGGGGTGGCGTGAGTGATCTGAGAGAGGACGTGTTCTCTGAGGTAACTGAATCAGAGTTGATCAGATTGCCCTTGTCAGAGCGGCCACATACAGTCACAGAGCGGCTCCAATCTAAAACACGAGAAGAGAGGAAAATGCCATTTGCATCAAAAATACACTCATAAAAGTTTTTTTCTACTGCACAAAAGCAACAGTCGGGTACCTGAGTTATCACTGAAACGTCCACAGCACAGATTGATCCTCCATTGTTTTCTCACATTTTCCTTCATTAAACAGTGGAAAAGAAACACGAAGAAGCCTGGGAAAAAGCAAACAAAAATGAGTACACACACACACATGTGTGTGTGTGCGTGTGTGTGTGTGTATGTGTGTGTGTGTGTGTGTGTGTGTGTGTGTGTGTGTGTGTGTGTGTGTGTGTGTGTGTGTGTGTGTGTGTGTGTGTGTGTGTGTGTGTGTGATAATATAAATACTATACATTGCACCCATGCAATTTTGTTCTTCAAAAATAATGTTAGCGAGGCACAGATAACACAAATGGATATGGAACATTGTAAATGTTGTGTCCTGAACATTAGATGGCTGCAGAGCACTGCTAATATAGAGGTGTAGTGTAGAGTTATGGTGAAGTTCTGCTGACAGTTACAACATTAATGGTGTGTGTGCTTGTCCCTTCTGCTGTAATAAAGTTGTGGGTAAAGTTATTTCCTGTCTGCTTTCTAACAACTTGAAGACATAACGGTAAAAAGTAAAAGTTGTCTTTCTTTCCTTTCTTCACGAAGTGCAATTTGTCGTGATTCACTTAAATGCAGTTTTAGTTGTGTTTGGAGCACATAGAAAAGGTTTTATTTGGTCTTGTAGCCCAGGCTCTGCAATTTAGTTAGAGGTGAAGCGCGGTGATATTTATTATATTTTAATTTTAATTAATAACTTGATACTAAACTTTTTGGTCCCCTAGTTGGGGAGTGCTCGGGCTTGAGTGGTAAAGTGCATAATTGAAAAAAAAAAATGAATTAATCATAATTAACACTTTAAATTCCCACCCCTAATATAAATATAATTTTGATGATAATTACTCCACTATGTCTTTTACTTACCTTGTAAAGAATTGCAGATTGAGAACAAATACATCATGGCCACCCGGCCAGGGCCAAAGGAAAAAAAGCCCATCGACCACGTCAGGCCCAACAGGACAGTGAGACCAACGACTGCTTTCAAGTCCTGCAGAGAGCTGCGGCTGTTTGCTGACAGTTTATTGGCTCTCATTTGTTTGATCTGAATCAGAACCACAATGAACACAATCACGTTGCCCAACAAGATGAGTAGAACAAATGCCACCGTCATAAAGAAGAAAACGTCATCCTGCAGCCAGCAGCTGAGGAAGAAGAGGCGAGAGAATTAAAATGAACAAGGACACGTGTAGTAAAACTAGTCAAATGTGGCGGATTTGTTTTGATGTTGTCCACATTCCGGGAAGTAATCAAATCAACAGAATCTGCTGCATCTGCAGCCAGCTGCTGATGTACTTACAAGGGTTCAGCGGACTGAAGCGCCACTGCAGTTTCTTTAGGTATCAAGCTGCCGTAAGCATCTTTATCAACAGCCAGAACCATGCTCACTGTCACCAAAGGAATACCTGCAAGAATTAAAACACCAAAATTATACTGCACTCTATAAAGTCATTAAAAAATCAAATGCATCTTATGTGACTAAAAAGAGAGACACAAATCAGTGTTAACGGCACGTTCTCTGAATGTACACCAGCTCTCTCATAAACACTGTGCTAATGGGCTTGAGTGTAATTTAACCCTTTAAACTTCTTGGAATAACTAAAGTGACTATATATGTTAATGCATATGAAAAAAGTGTAAATAATCAGATTGTAAAAATCTGAAAGAAACTAGCACAATATGGCACTTTTTTTTGACCATATCAAGTTTCATTAAGCAGCCTTTGAACACTTAGTTGCTTAACTGAATCAATCTTTTTAAAATGGGCATTTGCTGTGAATATATCCCAAATTAACAATATTTAACAAAATTCAACCAAGAGTAGAGCTGCTGTTCCTCCAGCAGTAGCTCTGTCTTGTACATGAGAGGTGGTTCTGTTCTAATTTCCCCAGGTTGTGACATCACAAAAGGGAACGTGTTGAAATGGCTTGTTTTAGGCGTATAATTTCTAAAACCAAACACTGACAGAAAACAGGTAGATGCATGTTTTTCACTTTTGCCATGTTTATAGAGGCAGTAGAGACCCACATGGCAACTCTAAAGGATGCAAAAGGTGAATTCTTTTTAAGTCTTATTCTGACCAGTTAACAATGCTGGGACCTTGGCAAAGTAGCTGGGTTGACTAAAGAAAGAAGCAACATTTTAGAGAAAAGTTAGAAAGTTGTTGGATTGTTAAGAAAAAGAAAAAAAAAACTCAAGATCATATTTTTACCATCACATCCGAGTCTTTTACTGAGACCTTGGTGCTGATTATTGCTGCTCCTTTTGAGTTGCTGAGCTTTTTGCTTCAGTGCAGTGCTGTCTTAACTTTACTACAGTATGTCAAGTGTTGTGTTATTAGAGTTAAACAAACAGAACTGAACTCTCATGATCAGTGAGCTAAAGTCCATCCCTGAATGTGATAAGCCCACTACAGCCACCAAACAAGCAGGATCTTAGTCAAGGATACACAAAGTCCTTTCTCACCCCATCCAACAGCACAGAACTTGAGGATGTAGGAGGGTATGTAGGTGTTGAACACCTTGACCAGCGCAAAGTACATGTGCACAGCCTCCAGGCCCATCCAGGTGAAGGAGGCTAGCATGAAATAGTGCAGCGCAGCAGCTGTTGTGATGCACAAGCCGTAGTTGTTGAAAGACGACAGCCAGGAGTCGAGAAGGAAGAGCATGCTCAAGCCCAGCAGAGCTACTGACAGATTCATGAGTATCTTAGATGGATAGTCCTGACGCAGCTTCCTGCAGAAGAGAGAACGTCTCAGTGTGCATAAATTTCTGACAGCTCACTGCATCATTAATTCAGCAAGACAGAGATGTCAGAATAGACTATTTTGTGCTCTTTAATCCAGTTAGACATTTGGTAACACCATGGATTTAAATACTTTTTAACTGCCTAATTTACAATAATTAAAGAATTGCGATTATTAGGAAACCAGAAGCATGTTTTTGGGTACCAGCTTTCCAGCACCAGGATTGAGAACCAGTGCTTTAAGCTATTGTTTCAAAATAGTTTTCAACTGAGACACAAACTTGACCATGCTCAAATTGGGCAGCTCTCTGCAGCCCTCTGCTGACCAGAAATAGCACTTAACAGTTTTGTGGTGCAGTTAGGAACACCAGTGGGAGAGCTCTACATGCTTCATGGCAAGAGATGTGTGTCGATAGCTCATATAAAGGCTAGCAGTTAGCTTTTTTAGTTTGCCAACTGTCAATGAAAAGCTCAAAGAAGAAGAAGTTTGCTATTTTTGTTAGCATCATGGCAGAGCTTGGAAGTAAAAATAACACTTTTGAAACCTATAAACTGTGATGGATGGGTGATTACATATGTATGGTCCTGTAGTGTGATATGAAACTTTAGTGAATGACTTACTCAAAAAAAATGTAGGTGAGTAAAGTGATGCCCAGAAAAACAGAGGATATTCCACAGCCAACATAGGAGATCACGGTTAGGATCTCACTATCAGGTCCACTGACAGGGCTCCTGGATACATCCTGGAAGGCACAACAGATAAAACACTTCATATATCAGCAACGTTCCTATCAGTGATATCAGATATGTTCTGAAGCTAGCGGTAGTTTTCTAATGCATAAATGCATAAAATATGCATATATTGCAGCACTGATGTCCAAATATTTTATTGTTGGCTTAAAACACAGTCAAGCATCCAACAAGCAACCAGACAGTGTGCAGTAAATTGCAGATGTGTGACCAAGTCACTGCTTTGCAAGTCACAAGTCTTTCTAGTCAAGTCTCGAGTCAAGTCCAAGTCAGAGGCAACCAAGTCCAAGTCAAGTCCAGTCAATGATGTGGAAGTCCAAGTCAAGTCCAAGTCCTTAACTTTGAATTTTCAAGTCATAATCAAGTCATTTGTCCAATGTCAACTCAATGACAATGATAATAAATAAACTCCAGAAATAAAGCTTCTTAAAGCTTAATTTATTTGCTGAAACAAGCAGGAAGTGCAGCTGAAACTGATTATAAACAAAGTGCTGCTGCATTTAGCAGAACAAGATCAAACCCAGAACGAAGAATGATTTATGATTTTTGTCCAAGTCGTGCCATTTTTGTGCTAAAATATCAAATATGCTCAAGTCATCATCAAGTCAACAGATGCAAGTCGATTCAAGTCGCAAGTCACTGGTGTTCAAGTCCGAATCAAGTCGTAAGTCTTTATAGATTTTATCAAGTCAAGTCAGAAGTCATTAACATAATTACTTGAGTCCAAGTCATGTGACTCAAGTCCACACCTCTGGTAAGTTGGTTGCTGAACCCAAGTGACTCACCAGGAGGACAGCAAAATGTGTGAGATGATCACAGAGACAGCTGGTCTGATGAGAGGAAACGCTCCGAGTTTCACAGCCACTGCTGTTCCAACCACCGAGTCCGCCTAAAACACACACACACACACACACACACACACACACACACACACACACACACACACACACACACACACACACACACACACACACACACACACACACACACACACACACACACACACACACACACACACACATTTGATTAAACCTCCTTATCAGCCTGCCTCCTACAAGGATTTTATGAAACACACTGAGGCTTGGCCACAGTAACTCATCTGAACTGTACACAAAAAGTAATGAATAAAGACCAACTGACCGTACTTCTGGAAATCCCAAAACATGCACTGTACTTTCTGTTGTAGCTGCAAACAAGGAATAGCATCATGTTATCAAAGCAAATAGAAACAAAAATCCCTGAAAGTGTTCCTGGCCAGCGGAGGTCGTGCTAGGAGAGGCTGTAGTCATTAGGTTCTGGACTTTTACCTCAGACAGATTTATGGCTTTTTCCATGTTTTTAGGGATGAATCTGACCTCTGCTGCTACACTGGAAACTGGAATAACAAGCGCTATTTCAGCCAAAGTTTTAAAATCAAGGAATATTTCTCCCATAAATTACCAGATGTAATGTAAAAGACTCTCTGAATGAAGAGTTTTTAAGACCTGAAAAGCCCTCGATTCATGTGCACCACTGCACTGGAGATGCATTGAGAATGGTGTCCAAGTGTGAGATAATGTGCAGATGCTCTGACGGGAATCTTTTCTTGATTGATTTTTACTCTGGGATGAACTTTATGTGTGTAAAGTTTAAAATGTCTGCGCACATGCATGAGTTGGGGGTTGTAAACTGCAGTCTGTCAAAATGACCGACAGCTTTCAGAATATTTCATTAACGTAAAAATATCCAAAAAATGGTTAAATACCTAAAATATCTGGTTAACGTGATCCCTGCTGGCCAGGCAGCTCTCTAGTTGCTCAGCACCCCTAGACCTCTTCCCCCTGAAAACCTTCATTTCTCACCTTTTTGGGTGTCTGATGGCTGAGGGTCACCACCACCGGTTTCACCAAGTTGATGACTTGGCTGTTGTTGATGCTGGCAGATACTACAAATGAGTTTAATGTCCAGTTTCTCTGTGTTACATTGGCTAATAGCGGGTCCTGTTAAAAAGACACAACTGTTTTGAGCCCAAACAAGGTCTCCTTTCTGAAGATTGTAATAAATAAACAACTTGATGAGAGTCTTTTTGTGTAATTGAATATGACTCTTTGGGGAATTTTGTTTTTCTTCAGCTGATGAAAAGCTGACACCATCCATGTGCTTGTGTGCGTTATGGATAGGTCAGCTCAGGTCTGAGCTGTAAAAGTACTGTGTAAAAATGGTTTACAGGCAACATCAAGATAGCTAAAAAATACTTCAAACAAGCCAGATCAAGTATTTTCCACTAAAACCAACGATGATATGTACGCCAAACGGAGACGCATGCTGCTTCACAATCACTGTTTTAAATATAGACAGAACCTACCTGAAAAAGATCTGGTGTTCCATAAAACTGAAACTGAACTCGCGTGGTGTTTCGGACTCCAGGGGGGAAAAAGTTGTTGACTTCAAAGGGCAGAGAGATGGTAGCGTCTGTCTGTGGGAGCGGTTTGCTGACAAAACTCTGGTTTACAAAAATCTGAATAAAAAAAAGAAAATAATAAAAATATTTCATGATTCTTATTATTAATTGGCATTGTTTTTCCATTTGCACATTTTCTGTTATGCAAAAGCAAATGTCAGGTGTGAAAATAACTAAAAGAAGAAGTTAAAATTTCTTCTATTTGTTACATTTGGTCATGCCTTATGGAGATTTATTTTATTGCTCTGGGCTTTCATTGGTTTCTTTGTAATCTTAAAAAGTAATTTTAAAAATAATTTTGTTTAGAAATATGCTGATGATTCTGTTATTGTCAGCCTGCTCAGAGGAAACGAGAGCAGTCACGGCCCAATTATAGATTCTTTAGTCAAGTGGTGTGAGGAAACCTAGAACTAAACCTGTTAACAAAGGACTTCAGAAAACCCACCAAAACACCAGAGTCAACCAGGTTAAAAGGAAACACTACATAGGTACCCAGCACGAGTGTTTGAATCCAGGTTGGTTTTCAAGCAACATTGCTAAATGTGTGCGAGAAGGCCCACCAAAGTTATACCTCTTAAGAAATTCATCTCATTTGCAAACTGGAAAACCACTGATGGGACTGTTCTATAAAGCTTTCCTTGAGCCTGTTTGGTCCTTTTCTCTGGTTTTGTGGTTTGGCATTCTTCCACTGAGAGAGGAGAGCTTAGTTAAAGATCAAGTTCTCACATTTTTTTAATTACATCTGCAGTGGTCTCTAATAGGAATGAATGCCGGAAGTCACTCTCGGGAGAGAAAAAGCTCCAGTGTGTTTGTTTACGAATGTTGAAGTCAGCTGGAGGAAAAGTAGCTTCAGACGGCAGGTTTTGGAGTCATATTTCCTGATATTCAGACATCTCAGCTCTGATTGGCTAACAGTAACAGGACTCTACCTCTGACTCTGTTTGCTTTGCAAAGTTGATTTTTCATCTCCACAAATAACACAAGCCAGAAGGAGTTCTGCTGTGTGGTGGAGTGTCTAATGCAAGCTTCAACTAGCCGAGATGTTCACTGCTATTTCCTGGGCACTAAAACAACAACATCCTTCTACGTCGTGAGTTAAGATGGGTGAGTCCATGAATGTTAAGTGACAGTGTGACATAGATCTGCCAGGGTTTTCTGAACTGAGTGTTTCACCGTCTATTTTCGTTAATGCAGGAGATAGGTGTAGGAGACTACTTTCAGATTCAGCCTGCATGAAAAACTCAATGACTGATCATTTTCAAAAATAATAAGTAAAAATGTTTTTTAGTGAACCTGCTCTTTAAACAGCGGATAAATTGGGTAGGGAAACAAACCACAGGAAGGTCTATAGCTGTATTCTTCAACTGTCCAGGTCCATCTCTAGTTATGAATCAAACCGACTCTTATGTGAGTGAGTCCTGGCTCTAGTTTCTGGTCGCAGATTCAAGGTCCCGCTTTAGGAACACTTTTGTCCCCTCAGTACAGCTCATCTTCAGCAAACAATGAGAAGATTGGATTTAACCTTGAGTCCTCACTAAGTGTGCATGGTGTACAAAATATTTATGAAAACAACTTCAGTTTTAACAAACAGCTCCAGATGTTTTGGACCAGTTCTAGATTGTTTCTCTAAAATTGTCTCACCTCAGGGTCCATGTTTGGTGACAGAGACACGGCAAAAGTTAGTCCACTGAACTCATCTCGATCTACATTAATCATGGAAAGGGCGAGAGCTGGAGCTTTAATATCTGTGGATTCGCCCTGGAATTCCATACTGTTTCCCATCCGGTCGGTCAGATCAAGAACACTTTTCCCAAAAGATGAAAGAAGAAGATTTACAAATCCCATTAAAACGATGACAAAACTACAAAATCAAATCATTCCCTACGTGCTAGCTACAGGTGTGACATCAGTTTCAGACAGCAGGATGTTGGCGACAATGTTTACAATGTCACCTCCAACGTCAGGCTCAATGGTGCTCACATCAAGGACCTCGCTGAGCTTCTCCACGACTGATCCCAGTTCAGAGGAAGACAGCTGGGAACTGTCCCCTAACTGAACTTCTACAAGGTCCTGAATCATGTCCACAACCTCTGCTGCGTTACCTAAAGAGCATTAATGCAATAACAGTTGATGTCTTATTGCAGAGCTTCAAAATAAAACACACATCAACCAGAACAGCTCATCTGCTCACCAGGTGTGACAGTGATGTTGTTGAGGTCTGATATTGTTAGAAGCTGCTCGCATTTCGTCATATTAGGATCGGCCCAGCTGGTCGTGTCTGTTTCTATGTCTAATTTACTGCCAAGGACAAGAACATTCGTGAGAGGAAAGGCTGAAAAAGGCAAACACAGCTTTATCTGGAAAGCACATTTCACACACAGAGGAAATTCAATGTGCTTTCCAGGAGCAAGAACAGCAAAATCATTGAGATAGCATATTCAAAATACACAAATTAAATTCTGATTTAAACACTGGGCAGTTACAGTGCAGGAGGTGCGGCATAAGAAACCACTGAGTAGGTTGGTCATGCCACAGCCCGTGGTCCCATGACCAATTTTCTGACAGAAGTAATAAAAGTCATCTAAAAAAAATTCTGTCCTCAACTGATTATTAAATTAATGAGCATGAGCTCAATGGTTTAAAGATTCATAAAATGGATCATTAAACTGTCATGTATCTGTTATGCAGTTTATTGCTTGACTTGTTGAAAGGCTTTATTGCTAATGATGCAACGAATGGAATAATTTTTTTCTATGAGCTTCAGGATGGCAAGGATCCAGCAGTGTAGTGTGTGGAGGGTTAAAGCTTTCTAGACAGGCAGCTATAATTCTAGAATTTTCTGGTCTTTTTTGAAAGAAATGGGTAGTTCTGCCATAAGTTATCATGATTTTTTCAGTTTAAAACACATAGACAAAATTTCTTCCTCTTTTTCTTACTTTAAGGTTAATGGATGGCAGTCGGGCTCAGAATAATCTTCTGGATATTATTATTTTATGTCATGTCAACCTAAAATGTACTTTATTGTATGAAACATATGCTGCAAAGTTATAGAGTATTTCATGCTGCATGGTACGCTATTGGTAAGGGAGCTCTACCACTCCTTTTAGCACAAGTTTCTCTGCTCACCAATGTCTGTAGGCTCTGTTTGACACTGGCTTCTTGCATCCCATTTCTTGGGTTTCTTCTGGAAATGTTTCTGGCCAAATGTATCGTCCATAGATTGTTGATGTGTCATCTTCTAAGCAGTTTTGTGGCTCTGAAAAACAAAACATATCTTTTCCATCCTGCGTTTCTTTTAGGTTTATTCCTTTAGAATTACAACTTACCTATGGGTTTGATTGTCACTTTCACGGTTTGAATGATAAATGAGCCATTGTCAAATTTTTCTGTCAAGGCAGCAAGAATAAGTGATTCAGCTCCTTCAGCGCAGCTCAAGCAGAATTCTTTCACATGAAAGGTGCAGTTATATCTGATGAAAAGAAGTGGGAACATAAATTCATGAAAATGTGTCAGTGTGACAGATTTGATAACTACCTTCCAATAATAATGATTTATTTAAAAAAAAGATGGAACATGTGTGACATTTTAAAGAAAAAAAACTAATAAACTCAACAAAAAGACAAGATAATGCAATAAACAATTAAAGGACAAGACTTTTAAACAGCTCACAGAATAGGTTGTAGGCATGCAAGAAGCATTCAAGTTATTTATTCAAAGAATAAAGAGGGACATCTTTACGTGATTTAAAACTTTCCAAGGATACAACAGGTAGGTGGGAATCAGGAACAGGAAACATGAGTTAGCATTAAGAGATAAACTGAGTACTAGATGAACTGAAAGATACTGAATCAATGGCAACAAAAGAAGCTGAGGGAGGCCAGAGAAAAATTATTTGGCTGAGCAATAATCACTGTTTGTGTTCTCATAGTTCAGCAAGCTGCTGTGGTGGCCATCTTTAATTGGATTTACTCTGAGTTAATCAGTTTTGGGTGTAATAATATCACTTCATCTTCAAATGGTTTTACCGTTTGTTTTATTACAAGTAGTTTTCAGTAGTGGAATGTAATAAAGTACAAGTACTTAGTTACTGTATTTAAGTACAATATATGTAGCAGTACTTTACTTAAAGGAGTCATCACCTGTTAGTACCATGGATATCTACATAAAATTATAGTCTTTTTAGCCCATAAAAATAATTTATTTTAGAAAAAAAATAAAAAGTGCTTTTCTGACCCTTTTTGTAAAGGACATGTTTTCTCGTGAGAGCACACGCGATATTCCGGCTGTGTTGGACTCGTAATTTGGAATGGTAGAATGTCCAAGGAAGATCTCGTCCTTCTTGCCTCTGATTGGCTAGAAAGGCTCCACTGCGATTCACTATTTGATTTAGCAACAAACCGGCATCTTCCTTTGCTAAGTGCAGACTGTTCTCCTGCTACCGCCACCAACTGTAAGCCGTTTTGGGAGGCTTTGTACGGAAACTGTGAACTTAGCGTGGCGAGAAAGACTATGGCTTCTTTGGACATACTACAATTCCAAATGACACGTCCCATTATGGTTGAAAAATAGTTCCAAAATTAAAGTTGAACCGACGTCTTTCCTGGCTGTGAATTCAATGTCTTTCTTATTTGGATGTTTAAAAATGAAAATTTGGGCATCTTATTACTGTAAAATAATATAATGGAAAAGATAAACAAATAACAATCTGATAACCCAGCCTAGATATCACTTTGTGATATGTATAAATTGTGTTAAACCCAGCAAACATTTGGATGCTTGATGACAGCTGAAACAACGTTAGTTCGATAAAAGTTTGATATTTTAAAATACAAACTATTATTACTATATTTTCAAAGACAATCAGTTCCAAAAAGAAAGTTGAAACAATGTCTTTTCAGGCCATCATTTCTGGAAGCAGAGCAGTGCGGGTTATAGCGGCGTTGCTCTGCACCGTCCACATATGGTACTGTACATATGTACAGTACCATATATGGATATCCTGCTTTTGTGACAACAGCAAGGCCAGAACTCAAGATCTGAGTTCACATGCTCCTGGGGTGCGCGTGGGCCTGTTGAAGAAGCCAAGAGTAAAAAAAGATCCAATGTTAAATATCAACTTTCTGGCCAGTGAAAAATCATTAGGAAGCCATTATATACACTTTTTTAAGTAGAAAAGTGAACATTTCAGGTGTGTCATTTATCAAACATTGCGTAGAATCCTTACTAAAACCGCACTTAAGCTCAGCAAAAAAAAAGGACTTACACCAAGTAGGTTTGAGATCTATCAAACATGGAGTATGCACAGCTGCACGCTTCGTAAATCAGAAACTATCTAGAAAGGTTCTCAGCTGCTTTTTAGTCGCATCCCACCCTCACCACGCCCACTTACTACCATAAATAATCAATGCAAAGTGCCTTGTGGATCTCCTGCATATACATAAGCCGGCTGTTGCAGCGCTACGCCAATGACGATGGCGACTGCAGATCAAGGAAGCGCAATTTCACAGAAGCAGAAGTTGAGGTACTTGTGGGTGAGGTGGAGAAATGAAAGGAAGTGCTTTTGCAAATTAAATAAGAGAAAATCCACAGAGTGGCACAATATTGCTGAAGCCGTCAATGTTGTGAATTCTTCAGAGAGATCTGTGGCGGATATAAAAAAAAATGATCCATTCAGGATTTGATCCCCAGACTCCGAGGTGAAATTCATGCACACTAACCAGTCACCCAAACAGAGATCTCCCTTGTCCAAATAGCCAGGGCGCATGATCAATTGGGTCACGGTGACAGGGCACACACTGTCACAGATGCATGACATTCTGTCTCAATCTGTCCCCCTGCTGATATTCTGCATTCCGTATTCTGCGCTTCAGGCTGTGTGTGTGTGTGTGTGTGTGTGTGTGTGTGTGTGTGTGTGTGTGTGTGTGTGTGTGTGTGTGTGTGTGTGTGTGTGTGTGTGTGTGTGTGTGTGTGTGTGTGTGTGTGTGTGTGTGTGTGTGTGTGTGCGCGCGCGTGTGGGGGGTCTTGTTCTGTGTGAAAACGAAGTAGTACAAGTGATAATGCTGCAGGATTTCATAATTGTATCCTTCTCAGCAGCAGCAGCACTACAGGTGCTCTCCATGTCCAAAATGTGTGTAAGTCAGATCCAGGTTTTAGTCAACTTAAAGTTGCGCACATTTTTCCGCTAATTTTTCATTCATAAATCCCAAAGTTTGCATGGAAATTTGCTTACGCAATGTTCCAACCCTGTTTTGTGCGTAAGCAAGCTTGATAAATGAGGCCCCAGGTGATGACTCCTTTAAAGTAGCAGTCCGCATTTTTTCTTTTATCTGATGACACCTTCTAGTGGCTGACAAGTGTATCACACCATGAGCCACTTTTCATTTCCATTTCTACGGCCCAAAACAACGCCTCTTGTTCATGAATGCGCTCCTCTAGCTGACAAAACAGAGCTAAAATACAATGTTTTACAATTATTATGCTCATGTTATAATGTGTTTTCACATATTTATACTGTAAATACTTAGTTGCCCTTAAGAAAAGTCACAGACTCTGCATCAACCGAGCTACGTCCTTAAACGCTCGAGCACGCTCTGTGATTGACGTCTGTCTGTCAGAGGTAGTCTAATGCTATTGGTTGTTGCTGACCGTTGCTATATTGAGCTCCATAGGACAGTTGACGGGCTTGGGGAAAAAAAAGATGTATTGGCTACGTTATATCGCAGTAAATGATAAGGCGATCACTTTTATGGATTTCTGAAAAAATCATATATAATTTCTAAAAGGGGAAAATCACAGACAGCAGCTTTTGGGCCAAGTTTTTACTTCTATTCCACAACAATTTAAAGCAGTTATCTGTACTTTACCCCACTGAATTATCGAGAAAGTTTGAGTTAAAAATAACTTTTAGTTTGTCTTTTAGCTTTATATTGACTTTAATTTATTGTAATTTCCACTGTAAACGTACCCGAACCAAGCTGAAAGATGGGATCTTCTCTTCCAAAAGAGCCAGATTGGACTAAAAACTTTGAAAATCACAAACATTGGTGATGTTCTTGTTCAGAATGGGAGTGCTCTGGTAAGTTGAGTACTTACCTGCACTGTTTGTTGTTTTGGCTACACTTAAATAAGTAAACTTAAAATGCAATGCACATTTAATGCTTCACTTGTTACTTTTAAATGCATACCTTACTACTTTTACTTAAGTCAAAAATTCATTGGATATTTTCATCTTTACTCAAGTACTTTTATTACCTTCTTATCTGTACTTTTACTCAAGTAAGAACAAAATCAAGTATTTTTCCGCCACTGGTGGTTTTATGTGTCACGGTGAGATGACACAATGATTAAGAGCATGATAGGCAGCTCTAAGACAGCAGATACACATAATGCTGCAAGGTTATCATCAGATAAGCGGGTACTTTTGGAAGATAAAAAACACAAAAGAAGAAAACAAGCCTGAAATATTTTGAAAGCACATATGATGAGTGTTGAAGCCTTCAATGTTGATATTTAAAAGGAGCCATATCATGCTATTTTAAATCTTTGAGAGCAAAGGTGAGCACAGTATATGATAAAATATTACCGTTGGCACTATTGAGATGTCTTTTATCTGAAATACGGGTTTGTTTGCTTTAGAGGAGTTCACACCTGCTCTGTCAAAACGCACTTACGAAAGCATCTTAGGCCAGCCTGCTATTATATTGGTCTTGGTAGTCCAGTGGTTACAGTGACTGTCGCGGTGAAGAGAACGGAAGGCAAAGCTCTCGATTTATCGGTCGATTTATGTTCCCACTCAGCTATAGTCACAAGCTTTGAGTGGTGACTGAAAGAATGAGATCACCCATACAAGCGGCCAAAATTAGTTTTCTCTGCAGGGTGTCTGAGCTCTCTCTTAGAGATAGGGTGAGAAGCTCGGTCATCTGGGAGGCGCTTGGAGTAGACCCGCTGCTCCTCCACAGAGAGAGGAGCCAGTTGAGGTGGTTTGGGCATCTGGTCAGGTGCCTTCCTGGACACCTCCCTGGTGAGGTTTTCTGGGCATGTCCAACTGGGAGGAGACCTAAAGGATGACCCAGGACACAATGGAGGGACTATGTCTCTTGGCTGTCCACGGAACGCTTCGGGATTCCCCCGGAGGAGCTGGCACAAGTAGCTGCGGAGAGGGAAGTCTGGACCTCTAAACTTATGCTGCTGTCCCCGCGACCTTACTCCGCAAAAGCAATTGAAAATGAATGGATGGATGGTTTAAAAGATGAGTCCTTATATTTTAACCAATTTACCAATAGTCGAAAACATAATACCGGCAAGCGTAGCAAAAAAAAGAAAGAAGAAGAAACAAGTCACTGCTGCAACTGGGATGCAAACCTGCACAAAACCACATACCAGTTTGCCACTCTAACCACTGGATTACCAAGTCTGTTACAAAGCCATAGTCGCCTAATTTACATATCGTGTTCTGGCCAAGAGAGGCAGGTTTCAGATTAGAGAGAAGTTTCCGGGAGAAGAGCAGGGCCTGATAACACAAATCATTTCCACTGATGCTTTACCCCTTTAGGCCCTAGGCCTTTTTTCTTTGGGCCCTGGCGCCTCCCTATTGCGGGCCTATGGAGTTTCATGTCCCAAGTTTCAGTGATCGATTGCATTCCCCGAGCACGGCTACAATTAAAACAGTTTAGATTGTAAACAAAGCAATTTTTGGTTTTTGATACATTAAGATAAAATAATACTTGAACTTTATTTTAGAAGAGCTGCCCTGTGTGAAAGTGCTGACAGGATGGAGGTTGTGAGTTCAAATTCCATTTAGGAAATTTAGTCAATTGTTTTATTTATTCCAGGGGTCCTCAACTACATTTGTTTAAGTGTTGTTTTTTTCCCAGCAGACACCAATGAAGGTCAGAAGCGCTTCTAAAATAAAGTTCAAATATCATTGTATCTTACTTTATTACAATTTAAAATGGCCTTGTTTCCCATCTGGGCTGTTTGATTGTGGTTTTAGTTGTGTGTTGAGAATGTGGACAGTTGTAGATGTTTGGGACATGAAACTGTAGAGGCCCCCAATTGGGGGGCGTTAGGGTTAAACAGGTTAAAGGATTTTCAATGTAAAACTCAAAATGTGCAGCTGAAACAGGGAAGTGCATGAATGCAGCCAAAAACATGTTTGGGATTTTTTTCATGAGGAAACACTATCACATGGTGAAAAGCTCCAAAAAGTGGATTTTCCATGACAAGGCTCCTTTAATCTTTACTTTGTTTATGTGTTTCTTTAGTTTTCATTTGTCACATTTCTCTAAATTCACCAGACTCAGGGAACCACTTGTGTCCGTATGTCCTTCATGGTGATTATATTAATGCATCTTGTCATTTCTTTCTGAGAGTCTAAGTCATTCTGTCCAGTGGTTCATGAGATATTTTGCTAACTCTAAAGATAAACATTCAAAACATTATTTTCCACCTTTAAGGGAAATAACAAATCATCCAAATGTCACCTACTGCTTCTGTTGACTGTAGAATGTCTGAAAAACAGGAAACGAGTATTTATTGTATATTTTGATCAGTATGGAAATATGCACTATTTAACTGAAAATGCAGCTTTTATACAGAAAATTAAACATATTTTAAATCTCTTCTTACTAAAAGGATCCCACTTACCATAAATCTACTGTAGTAACCCACGCTCCTTTTACAAACAAGACAGGGCAGTTAAAGATGAGCGTTCAAAAACTGCTGATAGTTCAGAAGATAATGCAGAAGCACCAACCTGTCAGCATTCTCTTTTATGACGAGATTCAAGACGTCCATAGTTTTATTCACTTCAAGCTGCTCTTTTAACTTTTAGAAAAGGAAACAAGAGGCTAAATATTTGTGAATTTTTAACTTTCACAAGCATGACTGCATAATTTCTTACCCATCTTGCTATGACATCATTTGGTTTTGGTGGTTTCTCTGACATACTTATAATGGCGTTAACTCGAAAAAAACGATCTGCAGTGACTGCAAGGAAGTAAAGAAAGAAAAGTATGTAAGTATTAAAGTAGTAGCTGTAGAAAAAAAACTTCTACAGTGGGATGCAAAAGTTGGCAGCCTTGTTAATCTTCATGATTTTCCTGTTTAAATCGTTGGTTGTTACCATAAACATTTTCAGTTAAATATAAGAGACACACACAGTGATATTTGAGAAGTGAAACAAAGTTTATAGGATTTACAGAAAGTGTGCAATAATTGTTTAAACATAATGAGGCAGGTGCATAAATTTGGGAACCACAAAAAAAAATTAACTCAATATTTATTAGATCCTCCTTTTGCAGAAATAACAGCCTCTAAACACTTCCTATAGCTTCTAATGAGAGTCTGGATTCTGGATGAAGGTATTCTGGACCATTCTTCTTTACTAAACATCTCTAGTTCATTCAGTAGTGATGTGTCTGTCGCGAATGAATCGGCTGTAAGAGCCGGCTCTTTGAAGTGAACGACGGGAGCCGGCTCGTCATTGGGAGACGTCCCCTCCCCTTTTGATTTGGTGAACACTACAGGCGATTGGCCAATATGTGCAACTGCGTGTCCAGACTGTCCACACACAGAGCAGTAGGGGCGGGGAAGAGGGAGGATCAGACTCAGACACACAGCAGAGCACATGCGGGTGGAGGGAGATGAGAGGGAATGAGGAGCAGGAAAAAGGTGAGCGAGAGGGAGGAGAGTGCGATGAAGACAGTGAGAAAATGAGCGCCAGCAGTTGGAAAGTGGAGATTTCTTAAAGTGTTCAGTTATTAAATCCATAGAAATGATAAATATTTGATATATAGCATTTTTTACATAAGTAAATCATTTTACATGTAGCTTTGGATCATTTTGGTTATAAATGTACTCTACGCAACAGAAAATCTGAGGAGCCACTTGGGAGCCAAAAGAGCCGGCTCTTTTTGGTGAGCTGAGCCAAAAGAACCGGTTATCTAAAAAGAGCCAGAATTCCCATCACTATCATTCAGGTCTGAAGGCTTCTGAGCATGGACAGCTCTCTAACTCACACCACAGATGTTCAATGATGTTCAAGTCTGGGGACTGAGATGGCCGTTCCAGAACGTTCTACCTGGTCCTCTGCATGAAGGCCTTAAGTAGATTCTGAGCAGTGTTTAGGGTCGTTGTCTTGTTTAAAGATCCAGCCCCGGTGCAGCTTCAGCCGTGTCACTGATTCCTGGACATTGGTCTCTAGAATCTGCTGATATTGAGTGGAATCCATGCATCCCTCAACTTTAACGAGATTCCCAGTCCCTGCACTGGCCACACAGCCCACAGCATGATCAACCACCACCATGTTTTACTGTAGGTAGCAGGTGTTTTCTGGAAATGCTGTGTTGTTTTTCCTTCACGCATAACGCCGCTTGTGCCCAACTAACTTAGTTTTACTTTCATCAGCACCTTATTCTATAATGAAGCAGGCTTGTCCAAATGTGCTTTAGCAAACCTCAAGCAGCTGTTTGTGCTGTGGGTGGAGAAAAGGCTTCCTCTGCATCACTCTCACATACAGCATCTCCTTGTGTAAAGTGTGCAGAATAGTTCAACGATGCACAGTGACTCCATCTGCAGCAAGATGATGTTGTAGGTCTTTGGTGATGGTCTGTGGGTTGACTCTGACTATTCTCACCGTTCTTTGCTTCTGTTTATCTGATATTTCTATTGGTCTGCGACTTTGAGCCTTAACTTGAACTGAGCCTGTGGTCTTCCATTTCATCAATATGTTCCTAACCGTGGAAACAGAAGCTGGAATCTCTGAAACAGCTTTCTGTATCCTTCCCCTAAACCATGATGGTGAACAATCTGATTTCAGGTCATGTGAGAGTTGTTTTGAGACCCCCATGTTGATACTCCACAGAGAATATTCATTCTTATAACTGGATTCATCTGTGTGTGGAGTTCAAGGGTCACTGAGTTTACCAAACCAATTTAGAGTTCCAATAATTAGTTCTAAAGGTTTGGGAATCAATAAAATGGCAACAGTGCTCACATTTATGCACCTGCATAATTTTGTTTAAACAGTTATTGCACAGGGACGGGAACTACAAATTGTAAAAAGATTAAAGATCTTTGCTGTTTAATATTGATAAGAAATTTGCAAAATAGGATCAATAGCTAAAGGTTAGAACATTTGTTGGGGTGAAAAATGAGTGATGATCTAACATCGATTCACAGAACCACCAAAATGGCAGCTATGGTCAAAACAAGAACATTTCTGATTACTAAGACCGAGTTAGAATTGAAACCAAATATGTTTTAGTAATTTATGAGTGTGTGACTGGTTTAGTAGACTGACCAGTGGCTGCAGTGGGCTCTACAGGTTCCCCAGTGGTTGACAAGTTAGCTGGTCTAAAGGGCACACTTTGAGTTGAACTCATTTCTGTAAAAAAAAGTACATTCTTTCGTTAAACCACACAATACAAAACAGCAGAGTGCGCATTTTAAGCCAAACACAAAGCAACTAATTTAGCTGTTTGTCTGGTTAGTTTTCTGTATTCTCACCAGATGAAAATAAATGTGTACTGATGGTTGCTGGAGCTTGTGATGCAGCAGGGAATACCTCTGGAAGATAGTGAGGGAATCTATCAAAGAGCAGTTTCCAAACCACATGTCACCAATTCAAATCATTCTGTTGACAATCAGCATTAAACATTGTTTTGAAATGTCAAACTGTGATATTTTGTGAAACGATACAAAACCCATATCAGCAGTCTATCAATTTTTTTTATTGAGAGTTTACACACAAACATTTACTATATTTCTTTTGTGTGGTGCAATTCAAACCCCAACAGCTAGGTGGCAGCAGTTTTTACAGCCTTCTCTCTGACAGAACAACAAGATCTTGCAATAACACTAGCAGGCATCTGGCCTGAGTTTTGTAATTGAGTTGAGTCAAAATAAAACCACAAATATTGTCTGGTTTTTAGTATCGCAAGATATTGTATCGTCTCTCCTGTATTGTGATGAATATCATATTGCCAGATTCATGCCAATAATCATACTTCAATGATCAGAATTATAAATAAATATAATATATTATCATTATATACTCACCACACACGTTTATACTTCTGAGATGATTACTATCACTGTCATATGGTCAAACAATTATACATTATCACCCCCTTCCCCTTCTGAAACTGAAACACAAACGGCTACTAGACGGAAAAAGGATTTTATGTCAGTATCGGCCCAGTTTCACAAATCAGACTGATGCCGATGTGTTAAAACTACTAACATTGGACCATGCCAATATTGATGCCGATATATTGTGAATCCCTAATCATAATAACATCACATGTTGTAGGCCGTTAAACGCATGTTTTTGTTGTATAACTAGCTATTTTATCAACAGTGTGACTTTTAATGTTGATATTGACACCACTGATATTTGGTTCCATCGGCCCACCCTGGGTACGTTCATGTCGGCCGTTCCCTTCCTGTTGACTGTGGCGTGCTGCAGCACAGACTCACCAACAGGAAGCACCACGATGCTGCCAGCGACCGTTGTGATTGTGGGGAAGCCGTGAGAGAAGTTTGAAGTCAGTAAAGCTGTAACTTTGGTCTGAACCAGATTTACATCAGCAGCAGGATCCACGTTCACATGAACCTCACAGCTGAAACTGAACAAACAGAAATCTGTTAAACGGGAACTGTTCTGGATCATACAGGACTCCTTTGTCAAGCTTTTGGGGAAACTATCTCACCATTTGTCACAAGTTAACTTTGACAATTGCTCCAAATCCTGTGAACACAGATCGGTTTTAATTCCTAGCATCTATGATGCCATGGAAACCATCACTCACAAGTGTGTGTGCTCTGTGGTGGTGGTGTACCTGAGGTTGTTGCTCGTTTAGAGCGGCAGGATCTTCAGTCGCAGGACAGTTTGGCCTGTGAGAAAAGAGAGGTACGAGAAATTAGCCTCAGGTGTGATGGGTGTGTGAGCCACATCCTGTGGGAAAGAAAGTGCAGTAAATTCCATTAGAATTAATTCATTAACGCTTGTGTAATATGGTCCTCCATGAAATTTTAGAGAGGAATTTATGACTTTTGACTTCACACCTCACTGTCTCTTTAGTTTACTTCTACAAAAAGCAGCCACACAGAAAACCTCATGAACACTAATGAGTTTGTTCAAACTGATAAGAACAAATCTCTGACCCTTTCAGAGCCGAGCTGTCTGCTGCAAACTGAGAAGATTGTTTTTACCTTGGAGAAGAGACGGAAACATCTTGGACAGAAATATTTGTAGGAAAAATGTTTTCCAGCTGAAAAAGATGACACAGATAATTTCTTCTAACAAATAAATCAAACTGTTTTAACTGTTTCCGTTGCGTTTCGTACCCATTTCCTCATGAAGTTCTCCACTTCACTGGTGGCTAAGCAGCTCCCAGAGTTTGATGCATCTCGAATGAATGCCCACATTTTAATTTTATAGGATGACCATTCTGAAAACAACAAAAACAAACAAGTGAACAACAATCCAAAGCTTGTGATATGTTCATTCTGTAAACCTCCCTGCTCATTTCACGACACTAAAATGAATCTTTTTCAGCGACTCTTGTTTGAAACACCTAGCTCAGAGTTAATTCTCCGCAAAGAGCGTTGTTTTTACCGCAGAGCAGATGGTTGTCAGAGGGAGGAAGGCAGTTGTGTTTCCACTGCTGCAGATCCCAGCTCATCACGTCTCCGTCTGCACAGCTCAGCCCGCTCAGCTCCTCGGACCTCCACTCTCTGCTCCACATCCTGAACAGACCGATCTCACCAAGCAGGTTACTCCCAGTCTCAGGCTTCACTTCAGTATGAGAAACAAAATGACCCACCCCCAGAGTCAGCGTGCCCTTGGGGGACAGCTGCGTGCGCCCCCCTGATCCTGGATACTCCTGCAGAAGGGTCCCATTGATGTACACCTTCAGCCTCTGAGCGCTACCAGACCAGGTGAGGCAGATAGAGTGCCACTCATTCAGGGTCACTTCTTTGTCAGTTTCATGCCGTTTCCCAAACAGCCACACTGTCAGCTTTGAGACGCCTCCAAGCCCCAGCTCTGACTGTTGTCCTTGTGGACCTTTGTAGTCAAAACCAGTCCATTTTGTTGCATGAGAGCGTTTTAATCTCATGCAAACAGTCAGCTCTCTTAGGGCTGGTACATGCACCCGTGGATGGAGCTGCCACAAACATGGAGAGCTGGTAAACTGCAGCGTCTTCCCCCACAGGCTGCTGCTGACAGAAGCAGCTAAAAATAAAGAGTAGCAGGGCAGTGAATTTATCTAATTACACCAACTTTTCTCAGCAATCATTTTAATTCATAACCAAGTTAAATTAAATTAAATCAATCTAAACTGAAGCAGAAATTTGTTTCTTTACACATGTTTTTAGACACTATCTAATACATTTACAGTAATATGCATGACTCTTACCTGAAACCAGAGGACACGCTGACACTACAATGAGCAAACAGGTGAGAAAAAGCAGCCTTCTCATGGAGTTCATGACAGCTAAAAGAGTTCCCCTGCTGATCAAGTTCTCATCTGCTGGAAAACAACAGGAAGATTTCTATTGTTTCTGCTTCCCTCTGAACAAAACCAAAACAAAATGGGTTTATTAATTAACGTGTGACTAAATTAGGTCAAAACGCAGACTTACCACGGTGTTCTCCTCCTAAAGGTCAAGTAAGTGTTTCTGTAATTAGTCTCGCTTCATGAGAGAGCTGGTCGAACACCCAGTGTCTCTTTATTACTCTATAAGATCTCCACACCCTTTCCCTTAGGTTCAGGAAGTTACTCATTAATCAGCAGCAATAAAAATAACCAGCGAAGGCGATAATGTTAAAGCCACGACTCGTTTTGGTTCACTGAAAACTAAATTCTCATCCTCGACCTTCGGGGTGCTTTCTGGCTGAATTTCCAAGTTCGACGAAAGGCTGGATGGTGTTTGGAAAAGCTTCGGCTGACACACGTCCTGTTTTTGAATGGGATAATATTTAACACTGAGTGTGTGTGTGTGTGTGTGTGTGTGTGTGTGTGTGTGTGTGTGTGTGTGTGTGTGTGTGTGTGTGTGTGTGTGTGTGTGTGTGCGTGTGTGCGTGTGTGCGTGTGTGTGTGCGTGTGTGTGTGCGTGTGCGTGTGTGTGTGTGTGTGTGTTCTTTATCAGCTGAGAGTAAAAGTAATGTTCCCGTGTTTTATAATTTGTCCTTAAGTGATAGCTTATCCAAACACATTTAATTGGCTTTTCTGTGAGGTCTCCGCAGACTCTCAGCTGTAAGGATCTGAGTGAAGGACATGTCCTCACCACAGCTGGGACAAGATAAACAATTAATTTTGCTTCACAATTCCTCCGTTTATATCTGTAATATCCTGTCAGGGTGATAACTAGCATTAGAAATGGCATTTTTTATGTATTTATAGTTTTTCAACTTCTATTCTTTGTCATTTTAGCTCTATCCTGCCACCAAGTGGCCAAATGGTTAGAGTCACATGCAGAGATTTGATGCCAGTTGTTTTTCTTCTTTAAATACACATCATGAACCTCTGCTTTCAAAAGTTGAGTTATCAGTAATGTCCAGAGATTTATTCCAGCCTATGGACACACTCACACAGACGTCTCTGTGTTGCGTCCAGATTTGCTAACAAGGGCTTCATTCATTCATTTTCATTCCCCTTTCGTTTGAGTGGCCAGGAATAAAACCAGCAGCTTCCCCAGAGGCAACATGAGAAGTCAGGTAGTGACGTGAGGGGTCTGAGTCGGGGGGATTTGTATTCAGTTGTCGGTGGCTGATAGTCGGGCTGGGAACCCCTCCTGCGTCACAGGTGATGTAGAAGGATGGGGTTTCCCTAAAATCGTTCCCACCACTGCCTCAGTCAGGGGGAATGTGTGCAGAGGAGGTTTTCACTACTTTTCTGAAATCTTTACTCTCCTTTATTTCAGAGTTTCATGACTTTTGTGAAACTTAAATATCAATTGATAATTCAAAGGTGGTCTGACCTTACCAGTGACAGTAGGGGACATATACGACTAAAAAGGACTGTTTTACCAATGGAAGTGTGTCTCTTTACTGCTCTGTTATTGGTAAGTTGGACTTTTTCATCTGTTCTCCTTTTCAATAACTGCAGCTATGCAATTTACTGTAATTTCTGGAAGTGAATATTTCACATGTGTGAAGGAATCTGATGCAACAGTAACACTACAATAACGGTACCTTTATAAATATTACTTTACATTACTTTATGCATTTGTCATGGTCTGCATCTGCCCCTTCCTTCATGTGCCTCCTGGTGTTCTCCATCCCTCTCTAGATTCCTTTTTGTGTCTCATAGTGCCCTCATGTGTCCCTTGTCTGCGTCTCATTTATGTGTTTTCTGTTTGTAGGCATTCGATCATCCCCATCCCCTCCAGTTGTAGCTCCAGCCTCTTTGTCCCCAGCTCTGAGTCTGTGTGGGTGTGTGCGTGTCCATTCCCCAACTCAGTGTGTGTGTGTGTGTGTGTGTGTGTGTGTGTGTGTGTGTGTGTGTGTGTGTGTGTATCCATTCCCCAATTCATTGTGTGTGAGTGTATTTGTGTGTGTGTGTGTGTGTGTGTGTGTGTGTGTGTGTGTGTGTGTGTGTGTGTGTGTGTGTGTGTGTGTGTGAGTCCTTCCCTCAGTCTTTTAGTTCAGTTTTGTGTTTATCTGCCTTCCTTTGGTTCTGCTTCCCCATTTAGATAATTGTTGTCACCTGTCTTCCCTCCAGCCCTCACTCCACACACCTGCATCCTGTTTCCCTAATTGTTCCTCCCAGTCTATTTAAGCCCTGTCTTGTCTCTGTGTTGTTGTCGGTACATTGTATTTCTTGGTCAGCGTTGTTTTGTCTCCAGTCTCCAGTCTCCAGTCTTTAGTCTCCAGTCTCTAGTCTCTAGTCTCGGTCTTTAGTTCTCTGCTCAGAAGGTGAGCTTTTGGATTTTTGTCTTAGTTTAGTCATTGGGTTTTTGCCTTCGCCCCCTTGGATTTTTGGTTCTCCTCCTAAATAAAGGATTTTTACTTTATACCAACTCCTGCCTCCTGTCGTCTGGTTAATCAACACTTTGGGTCCTAACCATCCCCTCAACGTGACAGCATTATTAAACATTGATAAACTATTAAATACAGTATTAACAGCTGCTTATAATTAATGTTATTATTAAGTAATGCATTACTAAGCAGACAACTCCCCACAAGGTCATTTGTCCTAACCTTAAATAAAGGGAACCTTTGTTTATTAATGTTTAATAAAGCACTAAGTAACGTTAATAAAGGGACCCTTGTTGTAAAGTGTTAGCAATGCAAATTCTAAACCCCAAAACTTCCATCTTATTCCTTATGAAACCTAATGCATATTTTAATTAGTTTGATTTATTCGACAAAGGAAGTTTGTCATGGAGACACAGGATTTACTCTTAGAAAACTTGTAATGTGAAAAAAACAATAATTATTTCCATATAAATAAAAAAAACATTTAAAAAATAAGAAAAATTGCATAAATTACATTGAAAGTGCAAAGTTTATAAAACAATGCATGTATTTCCCCAAATTGTTTTTGTTTTTCCATTCATTAAATATATTAATAGTTGTCGTTGGTTTTGCATTTAAAGAAAAAAGACAAACAATTACTTTTGGAAACACTGCCAACAACATTTTAACAATGCTGAAGCTGTTCTGAATTCCTTTCACCTTTGTGTTTGTTCAGGGATCCTGTGTGCAGGTTCAGTCTGAGCCCAGTTGTGATCAGATGGAGTTTTTACACCCTAATGGCACTTGTGTTGCATGTCCTGTTTGCATACCTGGAGAACAGCTGTCGGAGGTAATGCACATCCTTTTGGCAGCTGCATGTAGCTTTTTGTAATTATCTTTATGGTGCTTGTGTAATTTGTTGCTCTGTGCATCATTTCCAGGACTGTGGCTTTGGTTATGGTGGAGAAGGGGTGTGTATTCGATGTGAAGAAGGGACGTTCAGCACAGAAACAGGTGTAGCTCCCTGCAGGAGATGCACCCAGTGCCGTCTGCTGAACCGCCTGGTGGAGACAGCGTGTTCATCCACAGGTGATACCCTGTGTGGGCGGTGCCTCTCAGGGTGAGTTACATCCACAGGAGCAAACACCATTTGCATTTATTTAGCGTTTGTAACTTACACGTGTGTTATTGTGCGTATGTGCAGGTATTATGAACTGAGGAGCATGACTGGAGAGGTGGAGCTGCTCTGCGTACCGTGTAGCAATCACGACACAGTCCACAAGGAGTGTTTGCTTTTCAAATCAAAAGGCTCCAAAACACGTATGACCCAGAGATAATGTGTAGTTTCTGTTTGCATAGATACCTGTACTGATGGAGCTGTTATCAAGTTACGGTTGCTGTTGTCTTACAGAGGGGGCCATCCTGCTGCCTGAGGGAAATGTAAAAGAAGAGGAATTTCCAGTGGTTCTGATTGGTGCAGCAACAGCATCTGTGGTTTTTCTCATTTCTCTGCTGCTTTGGGTCATCCTTCTGACTTCAGAGAGATTCAGTGAGTTTCATAATCTCAGCTATTTCAACCTTTTTAAAGTTTTGTTTGCTTTCCTAAATTTGGGTCCCAAATTCTTGTTAATATGTTCAGAGCAGGTTCCTGCAGACTGCACCAAGCCTGAAGGACTTCTGTCTGCAGCAAGCCTTCAGTATGAATCTGTGTCGTGTCACATGGAGAAAGAAACATGTCCAGATAGCTCGGCAGTTCCAGCCGAAGATCCAACAAGGTGCTAAATCGTCTGTAATTACCAGCTTGACCACTTTATTTGTGCATTTCTGATTTTACATTGTTCCGAATACTTCTGTACTCAGAGGCCAGAACTTACTGAGCCATGAGAGTGAGCGGCATCCCACTTCTATTGTGATTAATGTCACCACCAACATCAAGCCCTGCAGCCAGAAAGACAATATCACCACACAGGAAGAACAACAAAGCTTCACCACAGAGGAGGTGTTTGTATATCACATTTCTAGTAACAGTAAAAAAAAAAGGGCGTCGCTTTGTGCTTAAAGCGTCTGGGAACAATGAACATAAACTTTAATGTGGTTTGAAGAGAACTAGAAACAAGTATTAATGTAAAGTATTTATCATTTGTTTGACTTTCCAATCCAACACGCACAGGTGTTGACATTTGCATCTTTGTTCAATCAACTAAAGTTGAAAGAGTAGCTTGGGTTCGATCCAGCAACTCACCGAAAACAGAACAAACTTCTAAACCCCGGGGCTGCTATCACCTTTAACTAGGACTTCACAGCAAAACACTGGTAAAATAATACGTAGCTTACCTTTGTCAGGAATCGGTCAACTCCATTCTGCCACAGCGCAGCTGAGTTGTCTGTGATCCACCGGGCTTAATAAAAACTAAGTAGTGATTTCCCAGTAGGGCCGTCCTGCACCATTTCTATGGGACAAAATAATGGAACCGATATCCGATGGTTTTTCAGCAAGCACAAAACTGAGCTGTAAGTGCAGCCCTACAAGTGAGACTAACTAGGAATGACCCAGATTCCCTTAAGTTAATAGTGGGTTAGTTAAAGGACCAGTTTATGATTCAGCACAATGATGCTTGGAACTGATCTCCCAGCATGCCACGCTAATTTCTGTCCTTTTGCAAAGTAAACTAAAGAAATTAATGATGGTTTTATATTTTTATTCACAACTGAAGAATAAATAATGCATTGTAATATCAATGAATGAAACGAAAGTAATAAGCCAGAAAAACCTTGAGTGTGTAAGATACGATACGAAATACAAAAGTGTTTAAAGTAATGTTCTAAAGAACTCAATGGTTGAAAAAGCTTCTGTTTCTTTCCTTTATATTCTGTTCAATTTATCTTTTGTTGATGTTGTTGAGACACCCAGACAAATAAAATGGTGTCATTGTAATATTAAAATTACTAATTCAAACAACATCTGACATCGTTAAAACTATTGGTCATTGTGATTTTTCAAATTACTCACAAGCTCTCTGTGTCTCTATTTTTCAAGAACTCTGTCTTTTCATTCCTTTGATGTAATATTTGGTGGTCTGTAAATTTTAATTAATAGAAATCCAGACATTTGAAATAGTTCATAAAATAATTTTATTTCTATTGAAAGCACAAAAAGCACTCACAAGTGTACTCAATCAAAAATAAAGAAATGTGTTTTCACTGATTGTTTTAATTGAATCAGTGATTAAATTTGCAATGCTGAGTTTACCTTCCTTTTGTGTTGAAGTGAGAAACATCTTTAACATTGTTTTTTTCTTTTGTTAACATCAGATGAAGCAAAAATTGCAGACAATTTGGGAGGTTGCTCAAGGTGCGTCCTCTGTGTTTTCCACCCGTAGGGCGAGTCCTGATCTCAGTGTTCATTAGACCTTTTCTGTTGTGAATATGTGCAGGTCAAGGTATTGACATCCTAGACTACGACTCCATCCAGGATTTGTCCCTGCTGCTTGATTCTCCCAAAAGCATCTTAAAGAAGCTGGGGCTGTCTTTGGGAGTGTCCCCTCAGGTTACAGCTCATCTCCGCAGCTTTGAGGACCTGTTCCAGTACCTGCATGCCTCCACTTACACACAGCTGCCCCAGCTGGCCCAAGCGGCTGCTCTCTTGCCTAATTTTGAAGTTGTTTTCAGGATACACAAAGCCGTGGTGAACAAGTGACTACTTAGCACCTCAAGGATATGCTTCAATGGCTTGGACTGTTGTAAATAACTTGCAACCTACTTTGCATAATGACACTGTCACCAGATCGCACTGCAGACCTTCTCCCTTCCACAGAGGCTTCATTTTACTCAAACACATTTAGTATGAAACATGAGATCAATACAAGCTGGATCTTTCTTGATGAAAAAGAGCCTGTTGTTGTACTGACTATAAGAAAAATAAATGCTAACAGGTTTGATGTTAATAAACTAACTTTTTCTAATAAATCGTGTCATGTGGCTGTCTTTGTGCAAACAATACAACTTCCAAGTAATTTCAGCTGTAGCACTGCATGCAAAATTGTTTCCTGTTTACGAAGTAAAATGGAAGAGCAGCCCTCTGGCTAAAGCATGTGAGAAAAATCAGGACAGAGGACACAGTGTTCAGGATATGAGAATGAAACTTGAGCTGTGAGAATTTTTATTATCCTCCCAGTTTGCCATTTGATCATCTCTGGGTCTGTAGATTCTTCGACGAATTCGATCTGGTAAGGCTTCAAACGACTGATTTTTCAAACATTTATCTATAAATGGTGACCAATTAGAGTGAAGTTTATTGAATTTATATGTTCTGCAATGCTAACATAGGTCAGAAACTAATAATTCAAACATCATTCATTCATTTTTACCAATATTTTTAATTCTTATTTGATTAGAGCAACACATTTGTTTTATTTAAATCACTCACAATTCCGCAAAAGGAATTTCTTGTCAATGCATTTATTGTTTGAAAAAGAAAATAAATAAATAAAACGACTGTGCCCGCTAGAGGGCGCTGTCGGGTAGGCTTTTAAATTCCCGGCGTTGTTTCGTGCCTTCTTCTCTTCTCCCAAGATCGTCTATGTAACAGCATGTGCTATCGTGCAATGATTTCATGCGGTTTGTGTAGCGTTTATTTCATTGAACTTTTTTCTCTACAAAACGAGTGGTAACGAAATACAGCTACTTTTACCTACAGTAGGCTATCTAAACTCAGAAACTACCTCTTGCTATGCGTGCGTCAACAATAGTGACCAGAAGCAGCAGAAACAATTTTAAACAAACGCTTTATTCACACAGCAAAGAGAGATTTTGAAAAACAATTGACATAATTTATATGTAACTTTGCAAGATTCATACAGGTGACAATCATGTCCGCCTATACTCACAGGGGAGTGTTTGGATCTTGTTTTTATTTTATTTTTATAAATGCCAAAAAGATAGTCAGAGTGAGACATCTGTATTGTTCACTTTCTCTTTGATGTCCACGTCCCCGTGGTGTCCGAGTCATACCGGTGTCGCCCGCCCCTGGCTTAGAAAAAAGAGAGAAGGAAAACTTTAGAGAAATGGCGGAGGGTGCTACGACGCTCAAAGGCTTGCGAGCCCAGATGGGTGAGAAATTATCGCACTGTTGTTCTGTTTCTGGTCTGTTTATGTCCCACAGTGGATGGAACATTCCGTCATGTTTACCGGCAGCCGTTCACTGGGGGGTTTTGAGCGGCAACGGTCCACTGGCTAGTAACGTTAGCTCGCTATCCGGTCACCTGCTATTGCTTACAACGAACGCAGATAAATATGCGACTTAACATCTTCATCAAAACATCTACGTAGGGCATTTGAAGTACCACATTTAAAGGCACGAGAAGCAAAAAGAAGACAGCCTGGTGACTAGAAGTGAACTGTTTGCACTAGTTTTAGCTAAAGTTGAACACGGTTTGTTTCTGAGCCGCAGACATATGACCAGATAGATATCCGGCTCATCACTTATCAGCTATTCTTTAGTCACGTTGTCTAACAATAAGCTGCCGCGTTGTTTACAATGATTCGGTTTGTCTGCTTTTCATTTATGGAATCACACCAAAGCAATATTAGTTTTTTAGTCGTTTGCGTTTGGAAGAGACAGGCTATCGGACATGTTCCCAGTCATAGAGGATCTTTAGTCTCGTACATCAGCAGTTTTGTAGCTTCCTGCTTGAAGGTCCTCTTATCTTGTGTGAAACGATCCCTCCCGCCTCCATCCTTCTCATATTGCATTGACTGTTTATGTCTATTTGATGGCATATGGTATAGCCCCCTCCAGTTGTCTGGGTGGAGGATAACTGCAACAATGACTGACCTGGATTTCTGATAGAGCTAGAATGTCAGAACAGAGCTTTGGCGTCTGATTGGAGGCTGACACCGTTCAGCTGTCGTTAGTGGCATGGTTTTGGTTAGACCATCAGTCCCTGGTCAGAAACTGCTCAGATTTTCAGGATTCAGTGCTAGATGTCAGCTAAAGAAGCGAAGGTTGCATCAGTGCATTTTAATCACTACTTTAGTCTATGAACAAACGTGTTTTTGCATCTGTGGGCATGAATGCAGGACTTGTTATGGCTAGAGCAGCAGTTGGACTGTGTGTTTCAGCGATTTAGGGTATGAGGGAGTTTTCTGCATACCCATTTTGGGTGTAGGCAGGCTTTACTCCTGGCTACTACTACATTTGGACCATATTTACAGGTGCTGGCCAGTAAATTAGAATATCATCAAAAGGTTGAAAATATTTCAGTAATTCCATTCAAAACGTGAAACTTGTACATTATATTCATGCAATGCACACAGACCAATGTATTTCCGATGTTTATTACGTTTAATTTTGATATTTATAGGTGACAACCAATGAAAACATCAAATCTGGTATCTCAGAAAATTAGAATATTCTAAAGGCCAATGAAAAAATGTTTGTTTCTCTAATGTTGGCCAACTGAAAAGAATGAACATGAAAAGAATGTGCATGTATAGCACTCAATACTTAGTCGGGGCTCCTTTTGCCTCAATAACTGCAGTAATGCGGCGTGGCATGGACTCGATCAGTCTGTGGCACTGCTCAGGTGTTATGAGAGCCCAGGTTGCTCTGATAGTCGTCTTCAGCTCCTCTGCATTGTTGGGTCTAGCGTATTGCATCCTCCGCTTCACAATACCCCATAGATTTTCTATGGGGTTAAGGTCAGGCGAGTTTGCTGGCCAATCAAGGACAGGGATACCATGGTCCTTGAACCAGGTGCTGGTGGTTTTGGCACTGTGTGCAGGTGCCAAGTCCTGTTGAAAGGTGAAGTCTGAATCCCCATAAAGTTGGTCAGCAGCAGGAAGCATGAAGTGCTCTAAAACTTCCTGGTAGACGGCTGCATTGACCCTGGACCTCAGGAAACAGAGTGGGCCAACACCGGCAGATGACATGGCACCCCACACCATCACTGACGGTGGAAACTTTACACTGGACCTCATGCAACGTGGATTCTGTGCTTCTCCGCTCTTCCTCCAGACTCTGGGTCCTTGATTTCCAAAGGAAATGCAGAACTTGCTTTCATCAGAAAACATAACTTTGGACCACTCAGCATCAGTCCAGTCCTTTTTGTCCTTGGCCCAGGCGAGACGCTTCTTGCGCTGTTTCTTGTTCAAGAGTGGCTTGACACACGGAATGCGACACCTGAATCCCATGTCTTTCATGAGTCTCCTCGTGGTGGTTCTTGAAGCGCTGACTCCAGCTGCAGTCCACTCTTTGTGGATCTCCCCCACATTTTTGAATGGGTTTGTCGTCACAATTCTCTGCAGGGTGCGGTTATCCCTAGAGCTTGTACACTTTTTTCTACCACATTTTTTCCGTCCCTTCGCCTGTCTGTTAATGTGCTTGGACACAGAGCTCTGCGAACAGCCAGCTTCTTTAGCAATCACCTTTTGTGTCTTGCCCTCCTTGTGCAAGGTGTCAATGATTGTCTTTTGGACAGCTGTTAAGTCAGAAGTCTTCCCCATGATTGTGGTGCCTTCAAAACAAGACTGAGGGACCTTTTAAAGGCCTTTGCAGGTGTTTTGAGTAAATCAGCTGATTAGAGTGGCAGCAGGTGTCTTCTATATTCAGCCTTTTCAGAATATTCTAATTTTTTTGAGATACCAAATTTGGAGTTTTCATTAGTTGTCACTTATGAATATCAAATTTAAATGTAATGAACATTGGAAATACATTGGTCTGTGTTAGGGCTGCAACAAACGATTATTTGGATAATCGATTAATCGGATGGGGTCTCGACACGATTAATCGATTAATCGGATTACATGGGGAAATTTTTAAAAACTGCTAGGGAAACGTTATGTCTCTCCTTCCTACACTTTATTTAACACAACATTATTAGAAAACAGTTCAATAGCAGAAAAACAACATGCCATCACCTAAATTGTCTTATAAGGTGTATAGACAGAGACCCTAAGCTACATCTATCTGTGATCTAAAATGCTTGGTCCAAGTTAAACAGCTTAAGGGCAATTCTCATCTGTTTTGTTTGATCTCATCTGTTAATATTTATTTTAAATGTAATTAAACATAGGCTGTGAATTAATCAAAATTGATCACTATTTCCAAAACTGACTGAAAAATACCAAATAAAACAAAAGTAAATGAATGCCATCCTCCTTGCGATGATGCCCTGGGCAACTGCCATAAAGTCACATCAAGAAATGCTGCTGATCATTCCAATGATCCCAAATAGACTCACATTAGGCCACATGAAAGCAACTGAACCCAAAAATATATTAACCAGTATATAACTGCACTCTCACACAACACGCCTGCAGCAACAGTTAGGACTCCTCCCTCCCTTTTAAAAGCGTTTTTGCTTCTGAGGACATTGTGGTTGTAAAACCACATGCTAGTAGTCTGGCCCCGGTGTGATCAACCAGTTTCTGCGGGAATGTGATGGCGGAACCAGGGCCAGATTAACACTTTGTTGTACCCTGGGCAACAATATTCAAGGGCTCCATCATCACGACCCAAGGATCACCATAATGTGGTCACATACAGAATATTTTACTGTAATATGCAGTAAATATACTCAATACTTGAATGCCTGACAACACGTAACCCGCCCAGAGTAACCTTTGACCCACCTCGTGTGGACTGACCAATGAGGAGAGGGTCTTAACTTGAGGCCCTCTCTTCATTGGTCAGTCTGCATGAGACTGACTCTCAACTGACATTCAGTCGTAGGCAGCGAAGCGTCTCTGTGCAGCGCAAAAGCCCGGGTGGACAGTTTGTTTAATATAGGGTGACCATATTTCCATTTCCAAACAAGAGGACAGGGGATCTGTGCCTATGACGTCACACTATGGCAACGCCACACAAACCATGTTGGGACCCATTTTTTGTAAGAACTAAATTAATATCAGATTCTGCCAATTAAAGGGCTCTAAAACTATTCATATGTAAATATTTTGCATATTTAATGCAAAATCTAATTTTTCTGCTTTAGTGCTGCAACAAGGTTTTATTAATAATAAATTATTATACCTTTTGTTTTACTACAGCATCGGTAAGCTTCCTGTGCACAGATGATTAAGGATGCTTGTTTCAGCTGTGAGATTAGACGATGGGATCAATGAAAAAATAAGTTGTCACACACTCCATGGAAACTTTCAGAGAATCCACAAATAGTGGCTTTCAAATGGTTTTGTTACTTTTTGCAAGTTTATAAAAGAAGCAGATGAGACAGCATGTCTGATAATTTAGTTTTTCATCTGATAATATTAGAACATGTCAGTAATGTCTGAGGGGCTTTTATAAACACCATATAACTAACACTCCTGGAGAGGGCATGAATTACACAGAGGCTTCTGGGGAGCCCAGTTATGGGGGGGGGGGGGGGGGGCATTTTGCCTTGGCCCCCAAAATGTCTTGAAACGGCCCTGGGTGTGTGACTGAGTTTTGAAGGTGATCTGAATTGTATCAGATGTATAAATATGACATGTGTATAACTTATTGTTTTTTACTGGTAAAAACGTGTAGTGGAGATAAATCTACCTACATTTGACTTTTCAACACTTTGTTTTGTTTTCTTGTTTTTATTTAACTATTTTCCTGTCCTGTCTGTCTCTCATCTTCCTGCATCTCCTCATAATTCTCCAGAAAATCTGTTGCCTGGATTCTTACCTTTTCACCTCATCAGTTACTTTTGAGCAGATCAAAGGGATCTCCTGACCGAAAAGCGCAGAGCGCGTTTTCGATGCTGCGTGAGGTGAAATCACCACAGCACAGGTGATGAGCTCCGCAGTAGCGAGCTTCAGGCACAAATAAGACAGAAAATAGAGAACATGTGCGGACATGAACGATCGTGTGCTAATTATAGTTTTTTGGTTGCGCCACTTTGAGAATGGACCGTGCGCTGGAAGCAGCTGCCTGGATCGCTGCGCGACAATGCGGAACCGGTTCGCAGCAGCGCAAGTCTGCCGGCTCTCCCTCGCGCTGATCTGCCGGTACTGGCTCTCCCTCACGCTGATCTGCGGCTCTCCCTCGCGCTGATCTGCCGGCTCTCCCTCGCGCTGATCTGCGGCTCTCCCTCGCGCTGATCTGCCGGCTCTCCCTCGCGCTG